GATATTGCACCTTGAACCTTTTGAAATAACCACCAAATTGTTTCTATTTGAATCAGGGATCGCTTGAAAGATCTTCAAATTTATACAATTTTTCCAATTTTCCAGATTCTTAAAGTTAAACATTCTCTTCTAAAACTTAAATTATTATCATAAGGTCCACACTTTCAATGCAAACTTTTTTTTTTCGATTTATTGAAGATTGTACCATTCTCCATAGTTTAACATTTTCAATTTTCCTTCCAGGACCTTAATCAGATGCTGTCCTCACTTCTCCGCTTAAATCCATCCACCATATCCCATTCCTTCTCAAGTGGGTGTGCATTATCCAAGAAATGAATATCACGTACTTCTGACGCAACTTTCCTTCTTCCTTATTGCTCATTACTACCACCGTCTGGGGGGATCATGCTAAGAGGGAGAGGACACCTTTACAAGTAGCCGATAGGCCTTGGACCCCATGTCGTTCTCACTGAGAACTTCTCACCTACTTGTTGAGAAAAGATATGTGGGGGTTAATGAAAAAAGGAATCTGAAAAACCAGTACTATAGGGACCAACGACCCATCAATGGGTTTTTTAAGGAATCTGAAAACCCCCAGTAACATAGCGATTGCTCAATCGATCAATCATATTCAATGATATTGTTCCACCTGGCCTTTCAACCTCATTGTGCAGTCAATTTTCCTGCATCATTTATTTTTCTCATTCATCCTTGTGCTTCTTCCACCCATCATAATATCAGGTTACGGTTACCCACTACAGGGACTGTAGAAGGAGTCAGGGGGTAAAAGGAGACAAGGGGGAAGGTTAATAAGGAAGAGTACTTCAATTGGCGCCGCCACAGAGGTTTGGATTCTCGGAGTCAAGTTACACTGAAGTAGACGGGGTCGGAGTTTGAAAAAAACTTGTAATCTCTTTTGGGGAAGAATCAAACATTGAAACCTGTAATAAGAGGGACCTCTTACCATACAACTTTAAGTCAATATATCTCGGTTCCTGTGAGAGATATCAAGAAATTGTCTATTGATAAAATGTTTATCATAATATCACCAACGTTCTATCAGTGAAAAGATTTTTGATAGCTCTTATAGAAACTGAGATAATTGATCTCAAAGCGCGTATACATAAAAAGTGTGATTCTATTAGCCCACCCTATCTTTCAACTTTGAACCAATTCATTTCGATTTTTGTAGAAGACATAGAGAATCTGTCAACTGATAAAATAATAATCATATTATCACCAATATTTTATTAGTTAACAAATTTTTAATATCTATCCTAGAAACCAAAATAAATTGACTCAATGTGAAGGTATAGCGTGGGCTTCTATAAACCCACCCTATCTATTAACTTTGAACCTATTTATCTCGATTTCTGTAATAGATATCAAAAAGTGGTCAACTGATAAATTGTTTATCATGTTATAACCAGCATTTTATCAGTTTACCAATTCTAAGTATCTTTCATGACAACCGAGATAATTCAGCTCAAAGTAGATGGAGTTTCGCTTCTGAGCTACGCGGTTAAAAAGCCGGCTACGCTCAAACTGAACTACCTCTTGAAAACCATCGATATTTTTTCAGATACCGTACTCCCCTAGTTCCTGCTATCTCTTTTCACCAATTGCCCATAAAATCCGTACAATCGGTTAGTCATATGGACAAATAAATATATCATCACTGATTCCGCCAAATTCACAAAAAGGGCGTGCGGCGATTTTTATGAGCAATACATATTAGGATAAATGCACCATCATGATATAAGCAAAAGGTGATAAAAATGCTTCTCGCGGGAAAAGCACGATAACACAATACAAAAGCTTCGACGACAAAAGGGCCCGTCCTTTTGTCATCTACAGTAATCCCTGTCTCCCCTTTTGCGCGCATTGCTGCCAGCCCAACAAGGCGTTTATAGTGTCGTAAAATTGAATGCGATGCAAGAAGACGGCGTCGCTGACGATGTCTTTTTGAAAATACATGTGCATCTATACGATATTTCAGGGGAGATTGGAATATTTTGGGGACCAAGCTGGACGTCCCAAATGTTGCATAACTTCATTTCCATTCTGTTCTACAGTAATCCCCTAGTTACATCATCAAGTGCCTACTTTGCGGCTCCTTCAGAACTCACGCCGAAAGCAAGGGGCCATGTTGATACTTGAAAAAAGTGGTTTGAATTACACAATTGGCTTGAGTCATTGAGGTCATTAGCAATTCTCTTATATTCTTCAGATTTTAATGTACCTGATTTTCTTCTTTATCCTAAAATACACCCTTCCTTCAGAGTGTACCTGTCAAAAAAGCCTGTATACAGAAGTGGAGAAAGGTGGTATTCTTCGTGGAAGAGGAGACCAGGACTCTGCAATGATGAAGTTTATTTGCACAGCCGTGTCTAGTCACTCTCCTCGAATCACACTATCTTTTGACTTGTGACACGGATTAGGTTCGGGGCGTTGGGGAAGAGAAGAGAGTGGAAAACTGTAGAAGTGCTCCGAGAGAGTCGTTTTGAGGTGGCACACGATGATTTTTTTTGCTGAGAATAGGAAGGGGGTCCAATTCAATATTTTATATAAAATGTCATAACTGAATAGTCAACGAGTTCAGAGCTTCAAAATAGGTAGCAAGCCAGCCGTAGTTGTAAAACAGGCCGGTGCCCACAAACCATCAACTTTGACCTAATTTATCTCATATCCTGTAATAAATAGCTAAAATCTGTCAACTGAGAAAATATTGCTGATATTTTGATAAATATTTTATCAGTTAGCTACGTCTTGATATCTTTTACAGGAATTGAGATAAATAGGTTCAAAGTTGGAGGTTTTTTGAATGGCTTTCTGATGAAATGGTTACGGTAGCTTGCAAGTTTTGGGCGCTCAATATTAATCTGAAAATTTCAGAAAATACTGAACACAAATACAGCATAATTTTTTTTAGTGGACACCTTTTTTCTAGCTACCGTAGTTTTTGAGATATGCGCGTTTGAACAAAGCGTGCCTGACAAACGTCCTCAGGATACATAGTCAACTTTAATGATGAATAACTTTTTCCAGAATTTTCCAAGTTTTCTGAAAATTTTAGAATATACTGAACACATACAAAGCTTCCTTCTTGTATTTGACGACTTTTTTTCTAACTACCGTAGATTTTGAGAAACTTGTGTAATTTCAAATGCGGTGCATCAAACCTAAAGCCGAGTTGTCCTATGACGTCGAGTTGAAGACCTGGATCTCGAACATGGTCCGTGCTATGTATCATTTTGTAGATCTCGTCCAGTTCTACATTTTACTTTAAGATTCAAGCAGAAATTCCAAATCTGAACCAATTTATGCACCTTGAAAACTATTTTGAAGCTCTGGCGAAACTTGGTTGACCCAGATCGGCCTGTTGACTCAAAACTCTTAGAAAAAAAACTATTGGACATTGGAGTTCACAGCCAACAATGGGACATCTTCTAGTCGCTAAGATCACTTGGAGAGTCCTGAGGATGTGTGACTCTTGACCACCCGCAGAGCAAGTTTCCGACAAGAGAGCGCCTACAAACATGTTGCATGGGAAAATGAAAACGGTGTGAAAAGTAGTAGTAGGATGCATGGAATGGTGTCACGGTATGTACAAACAAAGTTGCATTGAGATGCGGGATAAGTGAGTGTCTGTTTTGTGTGTATGGGTCATTAGGACACTCACTGAACAAGTGGTAAATGAAGAAGGAGGATGATGAAAAGAAACGGAGATTGAAATGAATATCGGGGATATTTTTCAGTGTAACAAGGGACCTTGTAATCCCAGAATTTGATGAAAACTTTAGATTTGGTTAGGAATAGCATAGCTAGACCCTTTTAGAACCTACTCGCCAGTTTCAGCTGAGATATATATCAGTTTCAGCACCAAAATCGCATTTTTAGTGCAACAACAGCTTCTAGGACGTTTCAGAACATACAATTTTTTGAGATGTCAAAAATTCCGACTTCCGGGCATTTTTCCCTTCCGTCTTCCGACTTCCGAAAAACGCACTTTAATTCCGACTTCTCATTCTCGAATGTTACCAACGGCTTTTTGCAGAAAAATTGAGAAATTTGTCTGTTTTCGACCAGAAAAATCAAACAAATTGCCGAAATTACCGCGAATAACATAAACTATGGTCCAAAATGACCGTAATAGCTGCCAGAATAGCTCGATTTTTGAAATTTTAATTCCCATTTCCTAACTCCGGCTTCCTACTGCCGTGCGTTTTTCACTTCCGACTTCCGACTTCCGACTTCCGACTTCCAAATTTCACTTCCTGACAACTCTGGTGGTAAGCGGCGCCCGCGACAGTCATGCTCCTCTCGGTGTAGCGCGCGCCGTGGAAAGTTTGAAAGCCATAACTTCCTTCAGGCTTTATGTTTTTCGATTAACTAAACTTTGAATGATAGAAAAAATCAATGGCTACAAAATGATATAATTAATAAACCTATATTTTGCCTAGAAAAAAAAGTTACAAGTCAAATACGCGCTGTAATAAGAAACCAACAGTTTGAGGTCAAACTGTTTTCGAGAAAATGTCCGAAGTAAGGAATTTCCTTACTTTTTGAGTATAACACACTAAATTTTATGTTTTACAACGTCCCAGGAGCTATTTTGCCACTTAAAATGCAATTTTCAGCAATAAAACTGGCGAGTGGATTCCTAATATTAAAAGAGAAAAGTCTAAATAGACTATTCTAAACATATCCTGAAATTTTACTCAAAATCTGGGTATAGGGAAGCTGAGCATTCAATGATAAAGTATTTATTTATCTTCACTCAAAAATAGTATTATCAGTTGGTGGACAGGAGAACAATTGAAACTTGTATTAAACGTATCACGGTATGTACAAACTATGTTGTACTGAGATAAGGGATAAGTAAGTGTCTGTTGTGTGTATGGGTCATTAGGACACTCAATGAACAAGTGGAAAATGAAAAAGGATGAAAAGAAACGGAGATTGAGCTCGAAAATAAAATTATCAGTTCGTCACACTATTCACGAGCTTTCCGCCTGATCCTCCTCCATGTCGACAATATTGGGCAATAGCTGCTGCAGTTGTTGCTGAGCATCGGCATTGAGATCCATCTGAAATTACGGGAATTAGAATATAATTTTTTCAGAATGTAATGTATTAGAACATACGTCATTCAAAGTTCCGGTAATATTTGCACAGTCAGGGTCCCTCTGTGTAGCTCCAAGACTTCCGACACTGGAGATGACTGATTGACTGCGATTGACTGCCGACGCGGTTGGGTCAAGTAGGACAGGGGTGGCCGACGCTGCTGATTGCAGCTCCTCTTTCACATCAACCTTCACCACTGGTTGGCTGATCATCTGGTAATGATGAAGTTGTTGAAACTGTCAGATCCTCTGTATTGATTTCAAAGGTTTTCGGTAAGTACAGCTCTTGTTGTTGCTGAGCATGGGCGTTGCTCTTATTTCTGTATGGCTCACGCACCTTGACTTTGAATCTCTTTCATTCTCGAACATGTTACCACAATGCTCATGGAGCGTCCAGAAGGATCCCTTTCCTGGCTTGTTTGGGGATCTAAAAAAGGGAGATTTAGGCCGACTATTAGCTTCCGGAACACATCCATAACTAACATGCAATTAATTTTTTTTCACAGAAGCGCTCTTACCATATGTACTGGCGGGGAGAGGATCTAAACAGCTTCATGCTTCATTGGCGCTTTCAAGGGAGGTGAGCGCATTGAATTATAAATGTGGCGCAGCGACGGGAAAGCGGGAGTCCTTGAGAAAAACTATACAATAATAGGTATATGGTAAAGGCTCCGGGCGCTTTTTTATTGGGGATTCGAGGTACCTCTGAGTAGGTATATGGGTATAAATGGTAATAAGGTTAGCCCCCCCCCCCC